TTTTTTTTTTCTTAGAATTGCGAGAAACAAGGTCTGAATTGTGAAATATAAACTCAGAAATGTGAGGGGAAAAGTTAGATTTGTGAGATAAAAGCAATTACTTTTTTATTACGAGCACATAATAACACATAATGATGTGTTAAAACACATGATAAACAACCCATTTTTAGATTTGTAACCAAAGTTAATTAAATATTTTTTTAGCTTTTATTTATGAAAAGATATAATGCATCACAATGTGCATTATGAACACCTTTAAAATGCATTATACATAAAGGCTACAGGTAAAGTGTTACCGCTTTTTCTTCAGAGAATGTAAAAATCTAGTTGATGTTTTGCACACATGCATCTTTATCCCTCTTCTCTCACACGCACTGTGCGCGTGGGGTGAGATACGCCAGGGTTTCTCTGTTCTAGGATGATGGACAGCGGAAACACACATGATGGGTTGTGAGATGCTCTGGCAGTCAGAGGAGTTGAGTTTGGCCCAAGTTTGAGTGTGTTAAAAAGGCCTTTTCAGCTTATGTAAATATGGCTTCTGTGTGTGTGTATATGGTCAGTTGGTTTGGCCTGCACACTGAGCTGGTTCTGCTGTCGGGTTTAATAGTGATTTTGCTTCCCGTCAGTAATTTCTGTGTTCTCCGTGTCAGTTTGAGCGGTTATGACTGCTGAGTGGTTTCCGGCACAGTTGGTGGATCTGCAGGAGTCTCAACACTACTGGGCTTTTCATGCTCTGCTATTTTTGTGCCAGTCTGATGATTCACATACTTTCGGTCTTAAAGGGACAGTTCACCCAATCATTCATCCTTCAAAACCTGTATAACCTTCTTTCTTCCATAAAATGCAAAAAGATTATACAGAATGTTAATGTTTTGACTTGTGACTTTCAGGACAAGCAGTATGTTGGCTTCGCTACGCTTCCTAATCAGGTCCACAGGAAGTCGGTGAAGAAGGGCTTTGACTTCACTCTGATGGTGGCAGGTATGTCTGAAATCATCACTATATTTGTCCCTGACTTCATGCTCGTCTTTGTCATTAACAAGAGCATTTTGTGTTTTAGGTGAATCTGGATTGGGAAAGTCTACTCTAGTAAACAGCCTCTTCCTCACAGATCTCTATAAAGACAGAAAATTACTAAATGCTGAAGGTAAGAATTGTCTTAAAGAAACAGTACACCCAAAATAACAGTTCTGTTATTGTTATATAAGAATACAATATACACTGCTGTTTAAGATTGAGGGTCTTTTGGGTTTGGAATT